TCGAATGCATTTTTTTAACTGTTCATGATTGCTAAAAGTATTCACAGTTACAGACACAATAGCACAAAAACAAGACATTTAGCTCCACTTTCAATGATCTCACATGAGAGCCACCGTAAGCAGTGTGCATAGGTCAATGCAAAACCTTCTAAAATGTTGTTAATCATGTGTGTCATTTGAAAGGCATAACGGTACCCCAGGAATTGGTAGATACATCGGTTTTAGCCAAGGTCACGGTTTGCTTCACATTTGTAAGGGAACAAATGAATAGACCTGAGTGCGTAGCTTTTCTTTCAACAAGAACCGATTTAATGACATTCAAAATCACAAACACTGCAGTCAGTTCACTGATAAATGGCCCGTTAAACAAATAAACAAAATAATTACACATCAATGATATAATATTTAGGAACATCTGTAAATACGTAGAACCTTTTCCTTTTAGGAACGTGCACCCTCAATAGTTTCATTTTTGTTTTGAAGACATGAACAATGCAAGTTTAACAGTAGCTTTGAATGTGAGAATTTTAATGCTATAAAAGCAGTGATGGAGTGTCAACTATGATTAATATTATAATGGCACTAGCCAGAGAAAGCTGTTTTTATGCCACAGAATGTTGCATTAACATTGCACTTGTGTTTGACTTTTTAAAATGCGTTAAAAAGTTTAATACTCTGTAGACTAGAGCATACTGCAAGCTATGGCGTCTGCTTACCAGAGGCTGAGCTGCATGGAGTGGAACATAACGGCTACAGTGCGAGGCAGTTTCTCTACCTGTCCCTTATCATACATATTCCTTGTGGGAACTCAACGTGCCCCTGTGTAGTACCAAATGTATCGAAAAATCAGGATACCTGCACCGTTACCACCCCGTGGTCATTCGCAGCGTGATTAAAGTGAACTTGAGGCACCTGGGTATGTTTTCACATGGCACTTTCATTCGATTACATTCTCCACTGACAAAAAACTTTTTGCAATGCACACAAAAGACGGACACGACTTGTCACCCTTTCAATAGGCCGATTGACGGCTTACAAGTTTGAAGACACCTTTGATGCTAATTAGACGACACACCTTGATTGAACATGACCTATGGCAGTGCTTCTCAATCATTTTTTGTTACGCCCCGGAGAAAATATTCCGCCCCCGCCCAACTCTCTGCCATGACTATATATAGTGTCATTTGTCAATAAAATTGTTTTAATTATGCATCTGTGGAGGAGCTAAAACTCCTTGCGCACTTTCTGAAACGCTATGTTCAATCTTTTCGAGAGAGAGCATAAATTTTGTCCAAGCCTATTTGTTTTTTAATTCTCTTGTAACACAATTTAAAAGCAATGTCTGATTTTCCTTGGTTGATTTTCATTACATGTATTGTAGTCATTATTTCTTTTATTGACAGAGGAGTACCAATAATTTTGTCCACATGTGTATATTTGGCTACAAAATCTGTCCGGACAGGTCTACAACACTGAGCACCAAGGAAAAAAAAACAAGCACCAAGCAAATTAAAATGCATGTAAAACTAATTCTCTCAGGGTGGACTTGCACATCAAATATGGCGAACACGAATATTGGGGGTCCACTGTACTGTTTTTGTGAATGTCTGACAAATGGAGGAAAAATACAAATGCTCCTTAAAATAAACACTCTAACACAATAAGTACAAGAACAGAACAAGCATAACCACAGTAAATTAAGTTGAATTTTCCTTCTCAATGCGTCCTCGCGTATTGACCTTTGTCTGTTCAAAATCACAAAGCTTAACATGTGAAAGTGGCATCTTTTTTCACCGCCTGCTCTCCATCCTCTGCCTCCCCTTCCGCTGCATTCGCTCCACTGCTGAGCGGCACTTCATTCAGGGTACTGCGGAGCGTCACTCGAGTGACACTTAAAGAATAATTACGAGGGATGGCGTTGTGCGGCCGATGGCACATGACATCCTTGAACATTTCTCGGAAGCGGGTGGACATAAGGTTGTACAAGATTGGGTTGACGGCTGAGCTGAGGTAGAAGAACACTCCAGAGAGGATGTGCACGTACTCGAATATTTGCCGACGGCTGTCGGTCCACTCGGTGATGAAACTCCATACGAGGCGGTCAGTGTGGAACGGAGCCCAGCAGATCCCAAAAACCACCACTAAAACAACTACAAACAAATGAGAAAAGATGAAAACATTAAGATGAGTGTTAGCGGAAGAGGCAAAGAAACATAACTGAGGTACCGACCATTTTGGGCAAACCAGCCCCTGCATGAAAGCCATGTTTTGTTTGATTTAACTTGCACCAAGTGCATGAGAATTGGATGTGTTTGCCCAGCCTGGATAACATTGGGCCTCATTCACTAATAAACACGTGGGAATGTTCCTACTTGTTTATGCAAAATCACACGTGCTACCGGCTCATTTTCCTCACACCACTGTGCATCTGTTGATGAGTCAGAATTCTAAATAACAGCGCGTGCCCACGGAAATGACAGCGCATGCCCACGATGCACTAATTGATGAAAATAATGTGATGAGAAGTGTTTTTCGCAGTTATTTCTTAGTCAAGTCATGAGAGAATTCTCAATGTCAGTAATTACCATGAACATGCTTCATCATGTTTATTTGAATGAGTGTAGTTTCAATACATTGTGCATCTTGGGTAAAAGATGCATGATTGAGTTTTTCAAAAGATGAGGCATTATTATTTTTGAGTACACATAGTCTGAGGAGGTTTTACATTTGCCCACAGATTTTGCACAATTCCGGTATGCATGGTTAGTGAATGAGGCCTGTTCAAACTTTGAATAGCACACCCACACAGTTGCTTTGGGAAAAGCCGACACAAAGTGTCACAGTCGACTGAAATGATCTAGACACAATGAAATGCAGAGTTTGAAGTTGTTTTGTCGGAAGTGATATACAGGAGCAGGACTCCCTCCTTCTTATGACTGGCTTCAAGTCAGCTCCAATATATCCAAATGGCATTGCTGCATTAATGATGTATCTCAATATTTGTTGTTTATGGCTTTTACCAACAGAAAAGTCATCGCCGCCTCGCCTTCGAGAAAATAACAGGAGTCATCATTACACACAGCGGAGCTGATTTATAGCACCCACTAGTTTGGATATCCAGGTAGAAAGGCGCAAAATGAATTGTGCCGCAATTTTGCAAAACAAATTTGGTAGATGCAACCCTTGGTGCATCCGATTAGGATATCAACTTCCACATCAATTTAATTGAGTATACATGTTTGCTCCTGTTTCTCCAAGTGTAAACATTGAATAAATCATATAGCACACAACAATAAATTTTTTTTAAAAAGAGCATATTCAAAGCCCTCACTAGAAAATGTAACAAATCAGCTGAAACATACATAACATTTTGGTGACCTGCCGTCGTCTGGCCTTTTGTTGTTGAGTGCGGACGCTGCAGAAGCTGTCCTGACCGGCGCCTGACTTTGTTTCCATTGCTTGGTGCATCCTCTCCTGTTTGAGCTGCAGCCCAATAAGCGTGTATAAAACACTAATGGTGAGCATGGGCAAGAAAAAAAATAACAAGGTCGTCACTTGGATGATCAGGTTATATATCCACTGAGGCTTCACCAGGGTACACATGGCTGAATCTGGGATCTCCACTTTGTCTGGCCCGTCAGGACTGGTGGAGTTACTCGTCAGGAAGGAAATCCCATGCAGACTTGTGTTGGGTAGAGCACACAACACTGACATACCCCACACCGTGAGGATGACCCGCCTGGCATGGGTGCGCGTCACTACGTATTTGGCCCGTAGCGGGTGCACCACGGCGATGTAGCGCTCTACGCTCAGTGCCGTCACATTGAGGATGGAGGCCAAGCAGACCGTCTCGAATAGGAAAATCTTAAAGTAGCAGCCTCCCTTCCCAAAGAGGAAAGGGTAGTTCTGCCACAGCTCGTACAGCTCCAGTGGCATGCCCAGAAGGAGCACCAGCAGGTCTGACACGGCCAGGCTGAACAAGTAGTAGTTTGTTGGCGTCCACATCACCTTGTTGCGGGCGATGACTGTGCAAGTCAGCACGTTGCCAAAGACGCCAACCAAAAATATGATCAGGTAATTGATGAAGATAGGGAGCAACATGGGTGAGCGACGGGGTCCCAAATATTTCTCCAGAAACTCTTCCAGTGTCAAATTCGTGTTCTCCGCATGCATGTAACTGCCATTGGTGTCAAGAGTCATCTTGTTCGAGTTGGTGTGAGTACCTGTGAAGAATCACATGAAGCATCCATCTGCATTAGATGAATAGAGACAAAAATGCAGTTGATTTGAACAGACAGAAGACCGACTTATGACTATTCAGGAATATGTTATTGGTCACATTAACACTGTGGTTCGCATGGCTTCTCCATATTCATCTTTTTTCTTGCTCAGCGCTGAATGCTTTGCTGCTCCTTGTAATTATATTGTCGGAAGAGTAGCTTATTTGCTTTGTGAAGGCTAGTATTATTGACTCATAAGGGTGGATCCGCAACTTGAAACAACAGTGTTTACCTACACCGGCTAACTAACCAAATCTCATAGCTGTTGTGGAACAAGTTATCTTAGCATTATCCCGGTAGTTCCCATGCACTGTTCAAAGTGGATGCAACATGATGCCCTAACGAGCTCAAAACTGGTTTAAAAATTAAAATAAAACAGTGCTGGCTGGCGGCCAGCGCCGTGGTTCGACGTGCTTGAAACCATTTTCACACTGTGGCAGATATGCGCTTAGCACGATTGCTTAGTATAGTCCAAATCTAAAGCACTTATTGATGGTACATTGGAGCAGTTCAAAGCATTCTTCTAACTGGAGAGAAATTGGGAGTCTTGGGTAACCTGCTCAGGGGCTTCTTACCGCTGAAGGCATGGGACATACATACCCATACACTCGCCCCAGAATCAAGCCCACATTCTTCACACACACCCCTGTTGATGACATGCCGATGTTCATCCTTATGCAACATTTTTCAAGCAATCTCCAAAACACCCAATTAAATTTTCTGATTGTCTTGATGGAATTGCATCTCAAGGGTGACAGTGAAGAGCAGGCGGAGTGAATGAGATCAAATTGCCATCTGCTCCAAGCCGTTCTATCCGGGCTCCAAATCATGTGACCTTATTGTCTCCATTGCGGTATTCCCAATACACAACTTTTTGATGGTGACAAGGCAACCACTTCTCTACACGTACAATTTGAACATGTTTTTGTTGATTTTTCACTTGTGTGACATCAATCTGCTGATTTTATTTTGCAGTGAAGGATGTGATCGAGAGTATGACGTTTTTCAAATATGTTTGGGTGTAGTCATTCACGTTGAGCACTGTACATTATCAAAGAGGATACAGCTTTATAGGTGTCCCCTTCATCTTGTTTTTAGGCAATCTTAGCAAATGCATCCAAGACAAGAAGAAAATGTCTTTGCTTTTGTAATTATTCCCTTTTGTAGATCCCCACCCAATGATTGGGCCGTTTTGGGAGCTTGCATTCAGAATGTGACTCAACATTTTTATTGCCACTCTAATCATGCAGCCTGCTCCATTGGGGGACTTAATAAGCCAATTTGGTTTCCTGGCCATATAAATATATATTTAAGGTTGAAGTGGTCCATGATTGGCAATTTAATTGTACCTTAGGACACGTCTCTCCAGGAAATGTTAAATTTTTTTCAAAAGTGTTTTTTTAAATCGTGTTTATTATATTATTGTTCTGGCGGCCCAGTGGTTTGCGCGTGAACCTCACAGTGCAGGGAACCGGGTTCAATTCCAGTTCCAGCCTCCCTGTGTGGAGTTTGGATGTTCTCCCCAGGCCTGCGTTGGTTTTCTCCGGGTACTCCGGTTTCCTCCCACATTCCAAAAACATGCATGGCAGGCTGATTGAACACTCTAAATTGTCCCGAGGTGTGAGTGTGAGTGTTTTTTAATCTTTGTGTGCCCTGCGATTGGCTGGCAACCGGTTCAGGGGATCCCCCACCGATTGCCCGAAGACAGCTGGGATAGGCTCCAGCACACCCTGCGACCCTTGTGAGGATAAAGGGGATCGGAAAATGGATGGATGGATGGATGGATATTATTGTTTTGTGCCGTGCATTGGGTTACGACTAAACAACAACAGCTCCACTGTGCTTTGCTCAAGGGCAGCAGTGATTCTAATGATGTTTGATGCCCCTTTATTATGACTCAAACCAGTGGCCTTTACATTATCGTGAAGCTACACGAGTTCGACTAATCTGCAATTTCATTGCCAGCAGCACGTGGTCCTTTAGCTATGCGGCTTAGAACTTCCAAAGGAGCACCAAGAAGAAAGCAGTGCATCTTTCAGATCTTCTGCGTTAAGGGCAAAGCAATGTGGTCGGTGGAATTATCGTGGTCATTAGAGCCTCCACTCGATGAAAGTCGCATTGATAATATCATCATGAATTGTGATGGACTGAGTTTGAAGAAATGATTAGAAAATAAAATTTTGTAGGCATGTGTGGCATGTTTGAGGGGATCTTTTTATTTTTACAATATTTATTTATTTTTTGCAAGCTCATGAGGCAAAAAATGCAAACGCTTTCCTCCTGATTTTATATGTTTTCTGGTAAAGTATAATTTAATATTTTAAATCGATCCTATAATTTCAATCCTCAAAGGGAAATGTAATTTTATTTGTAATATGTACACTGGCAATCACTCCTCACCTATTTTTATCGAGAGAACACATTGAACGGGGACAACCATTATTCACCTGTTTATGGAGCGTAACCATGCAGCGTTGCTCTGATGGAATTAGCATGACACATTTTACAAAACAGTTAGAGTTAGATATATTTAAATGTTTTCCTAATTTGACTGAAACCACCTGTGCCATGGATACTGTATTTTATAGCCTGGTTCCTGTCTGTGGCTTTCTCAGCTTTGTGCTGAAAAGTATTTTTCCCATTGCAGTATTTTTTTTTTGTTTGTTTTTGTTTTGGGGTTTTTTTGGCAACCACAGCATTGCATGTGACTTAGGTGTTATGTCCCACTTCTGTCTGCGTTGCTACAACTCGCCAAAAAAGATTTTTATGATTTGGTTTAGTTTTGCCTGCTTGACCGATTCTGCCTGTATATCACATTGCTATGCAATCAGTCTGTTGGCAACAGAGTGTGGTGCACAGTCTAATGGAGTGGCTGCTGTCGGAGAAGAACAAGTGCAGCCAGTCATTAGGAGTTAAGGAAGACGGGCGGCCGAAGCCAATCATAATGCTCGACAATTTGACCGCTACTATGAAGCAGTTTGGGTTTGGTGGAGTCTGCTCGCTTCAAAGTAAATCTGATCTCAATTCTGTCACTAATGTCTATTCAATGCTTAGGGTGGGAACACCGCATTGGCAGTTTGGGGACTGCGAAGTTTGGGAGCAAACAAGACTGATTATTGGCAAAGTTCCTCTGATTGAAAGAGCTTCCGTATCCGCTTTTGTAAGTAATCACTTTTTACAGGAAACCAAAACGGTCTTCATTACGGTTACTGCTCCAGCTACTTTACAGTGACTCATACATCATGCGCTGTTAGGTGTCTTAAAAAGGAGATTAGTCGAAGACAGTTTTGGTGTGTGAATGCATGTGATGAACACAGTAACACCCTTCATGAGGTGTTGATTTGTCTATTTTTAACTTTAAGTGTGGGTTTGGTAAAATAACACTTTTATTGCATGGTTGCTAAATTAGTGTGGGACAAGTGCCATTTGTCAATGCAAAGGTCACTGCTGTAGATTTCATCTGGATCCGGGTTAAATTTCCAGATTTCATGTGTCCATTCACTCTGGGGTAGAAACAGCTCTGAAGCCAGAGCACCCTAAGCATTCACCTATATTATCTTCATTATACCGGACTTGTATGTGCGGTATTGGAACTGAAGCTTAACAGAGACAAAGATTTTACAAGTATCATGCTTTGGTTGCATATTTTACTTTTTGCTTCTTGGCACCCTGACAAATTTAAAATGTAAATAGATAGGATTAATGTATGGAATAGCTCGACATGTATAATTGATGCTTTTTATATTTCCATATGCCGAGTTTCCACTCTAATTTTTTTTGGGATTATCTCTTCCCCTGAAAAATTATTTTAGAGCACCTGGTATTGCTTGAATACAAATTCAGACCTTTGCGGGAATTTCAGTGTGTCTGGCAGGCAAAGATAAATTATAACTGCTGAAACACTACATTACTCTTTATGACAGACCAACAAAATTAAAATCTGGAGGCACTTCTTGTAGAAGGTATAGAGTAAGTACCCCCCAGCCACCCCAAAAAAGAAAGTTATATCGGTAGGAGTGCACATGAGTATTGAAAATGTTAAAAGTGCACCATAATCTGCTGCGCCATTGACATTTTTTTCTACCGAGGGGCGGAGCGGTGGACGAGGCTCAAAGCGAGGAACCTCGAAAAAGTCAAAGTCACGTCGTACAATGCGATAAACACAGTATAGAATAAACACTTCAAAGGTAATCATGCTTCAGCTTACTATTTCTAGACTTTAGCTCAGTGAGCATCTAAGGAGAAAGTGGTGGGGAAGCTTTCTTAAGTCAGTGGACATTTCAGTCCTCTGAGGTTCATACAACATTGATGATACTTTTTCAATGACACATTATGAGGATTTGTGGATGAAGTTATTTTTCACTCTGGCATTGCTTGGATTTTTTTTTTTTAATTTATTGACTTATTTATTTATTTTATTTTATTTTGGGGTGGTGTTTAACCCTTTCATGCACCCTGTAAGCTGATAACACAATAAACTGCCCATTTTAGTAACCGCTGTCCCTGAAAGGGTTCATTTCATACATTCACAGAAGAGGACTAATGTTGAAAACCGGAAAGATGTTCTGATAATCGTAGAATTACACATGTAACATTGCGACGTGAAAGCAGCGCATACTCTTCGGTATTCCGTATCTTTCACCTAATAATAGTGGCTAACTTCCGGTGACACTTGTACACATGTCGAGTTTTACTGAAACATTTCCTGATCAGTTGATAAAGGTTTTATGGTTTTCATGATTTTTTATGGTAAAATTGCTTCTAAATGGAACAAATCTGGAGTCAGCGGCTTGCTACTGACCTCCACTGAACTCTTGAAACAAGAAATGTATGCCAAGATTTGATCATGAGGACATTTCAAAATAACTGAGTTGATTTTACATGTTTTATTTTCGGTGCCTACCTTGCCTTGATCACTGCAGCAAAATAATGTACATTAAAGATCATAAATATGTTCACTTTCCCAACAAATTAACAGCTGACTGAGAACCAAAACAAATACCTTATCCTATTGGGATCATCATCATGTAGTTATTTCACCTGGACACTAATGCTAACCAGAGTGTCTTAAGTCTTAATGAGTCTTCGTAAATTAAATGTCTTAAATGTCATCCTAAGTGCCTTACCTTGTCTTGAGTTTGTTGGCTTGAATGGAGTGTGAACAATGCGCTGCTCTCTGGTCTGTCGCTTCTGTGCCTGATCTGTAGCTCTCTCTCCCCAAGCCTCCCTTCACCATCGCCACATGCCACCCTTTGTTGTCAACCTCCACCGTCTACGTATTAATATACGCACACGCCACCCAGGCATTCAAATTGATATCTGTGTCCAGCGTAACTACATAATGACTGTAATACTAGTTGCAGGAACTGTGTGTGTCTGACACTTGCATGACAATCGTGCTCATTTCTTACAGTTGATCATTCACTATTGTGGGATTATGATTCTTGGATATTAGCATATAAAGTGAAGCTGCCTTTGAAAAAGGACGTTTTTTTCTGCAAGGAATGTAATCAGGCACTCCCACATTCTGGCCGTCATATTCCAATAAGAGCACATGTCCCTGTATTTGTCTTCCTGATCCCATGAAGCATACCTAGTTGAAGTCATCTTGGAACTTTTGTGTGCTGTTACATTCGTATGCAAATGTCTGCGTTTCCATCCTCCCACAACTTCAGGGGAAAAAAACAAAAAACAAAACAACATTAATTACGTGCTAAATGTGGCCGCAGAGAATTGCGGGAAATTATCTTTGATCACATTAAGATGGGCAGCTGGAAAATACACACTGCCCGCTGCGGACATTGCCTGCAAAGCAAAGATTGGAGCAATCTGACAACAATTGACTTTGATTAATAATCAGCAGATGCTTTCTGGGCCAACTTGCTCACTCTTGATTTTTAGAGGCTAAGATGTTGAGTTCCAAATGATTTTACAGATCATGTTTTGAAATTATCAAGTGAGAGTAATGTAAGAGTGAGATACAGGAAAATATACCATCATGAGGCCATGAAACTCAGCTGTCATTCTTTTTTTCTTTGACACCAAGCAGTGTAAAATTATACCAACACACCTCTGTCATAATCCTGATTGTTCTGATTTGGGAGTGAGTCAAGTGTGGGCCATCATCAGTCCCTAATTTGCCTTCAATAATCCTAATGACTGGTTTCTGGAAAGCAATTACACCGCTCAAAGTTTCCGTGGCAGAAAGATGGTGAAGTCATACTTCTGTTTCGATGTATCAAAATGAATTTTGAATTTCTTTGGAACACTGATGATGGATGCTCGAGATGCAAACAGTCACCTGTTATTATGGGCCGAATGTTCTGGCCTTGTGCTCACCTAAGTATGGGCCGTTATTTCAGGAATTTGTCGGAGCGCTCCGATTGGTCAGTTTCTAGTCTGTGCAGGACGGTCCCTGGAAAAATGCCCCCCCTCACCATCCACCAGCCACTCACAGACGGTGGGGACCAATGCACAGTGCGTGTTCTGCGTTTGTCCCAAATGTAGATAATGTACATGGCTGTTTGCGTAAGTGGTTGTGTGAGAATAGAAACAGTATTTTTAGACCCAAAGGTTGTTAATTAACCCTGTGATTCATAGCTTTTCCACTAGTGTGTCGACATTGGGTGACATTCGATTGCTTTTGACAGTCGGCTCATTATTCACAGCCTAAGATAGATGTTTCCATTTGGAACACTCAACAATTTCACACTAACAAATAATCTCAAGCATCATTTATCAGGCAACATTCTGGTGTCCAACAAACTTCAAGGACTTTTACACTTGTAAATGTAAAATCCACTGTTGTGAGCAACGGTAAGCCAAAGGTAAGTTGGAGAGTTTGTAAAACATGTTTGTTAATTTTTGAAACAGACGTTCCAACTCATATCCCTAGCAGCCAGGCAACATGATCCTTTGAGCTGGAAAATATTCATGCAAACTGAGCCAAGATTGTTTTCAATGACATCTGTTTCACAGGTGCCATGTTAGATGCAAACTGCTGCAGTTATGAGGAGATGAGGGTAACAATCGGAAATGTCACAGCATTAAAACTAAAAGGAGAGCAGATGGAGGCTCAAGACAATTAATTTTAGTGTGCAGAGTAGATGTAGCCCATCATTTCAGTATCTCAAGGCCGGGCCGATTGTCCTCTTTTTTGGAAATCAAAATATGGTCACACTAGTTTAGTCGTATACAGTGATGAGATATTTGCAAGAAGCCATGATTTATTCTGTTGTTTGGATAGCAACAGGTGTATACACCGGTTAATTTGTACCTTTTGTCAACCAATGGAAGCACATTGAATTTCTCTGCCCGTGTCTATTAAAAATAACCAGACACTAAAAACAATGATCAATCAACTGTGATGGACTTGCGACCAGTTGAAGGTGTTAACTGCCTCTCCCCCAAAGTCAGTTAGGCTCCAGTTGGCATGCCTGTGACGCTCGTGACGTTAACCAGAATGGATGGATGCATAAATGATAAAGATGCTGTGAACATACTGCCTGAATTCTTTCACTTTTAACCCAACTAAAGAAAGCAGAATTGATTTCCTCTAGACTCAACATATACCGATCCAACAACAACAAAAAAGTGACCAGAAAACCGAGATATAAACCGAAGCCTAGATTTTTGTAAACCGTTCCACGCCTGGCATGCATCTGGGCGCCTTCATATATATATATATATATATATATATATATA